AAATATAAACATTTTTGTGTTCAAAGTAAAGGTATAGGGTCACAGATGAGGAAGAGAATATAAATGTGAATCTGGGTGAAATCCAGGAATTTAGCTGCCAAGAAACAGGTAAACAGCTTTATCATTTGCTCCCAGTTTCAGATTTTTCAATTTCATCTGAGACAAAAAGCCAGCATGAAAAGGTAAAGAGGCTCTCACTTCCCATTATATCCTAAGTAAAACAAATGTAACCACATGGGTAATATACTACATTTCTTTACTTTTGTCAATGTCTTGATTAAACTTCTGATTTGAATAAAATTCAAATACATGAAAAGGTATTAGTAATGAGTTAGTGTTCTCTCAGCACTCATGTGAGGCAGTTTTTATTTGTTACCATAACACCCTCAAAAGCTGAACTGGTAAGAAAATTGTTCTGTGAAGGATTACTTATAACTTGAGTTTCCTTGGCCTCTATGTTTTAGCAAATACTGATTTTTCTTGGGTTTTTCATTCTACAACACACCATTCAATAACTAGCTTTTCTTGACAGAAGTTCTTTTGTGTTGTGTAATAATAGAAGAAGTAGGTACTCTGAAATGTAACAAACAATTAGTAACTAAGAGATCAAATAATATCTATAATAACTATTTTTATTTCATAATTTTGTTCTTATTTAATAAAAACTTTTTTTTTGCCCTTATCCAAATACCTCTCACCACAACTGGAGCGTGAAAAATCAATGTGAATTTTCAGAGATCTGAATGTACAATCCATTTTCCTCCTCTTCACTTATGCTTCTCATTTCTTTACTTTGTTTCCTTCAGGTCTATTCCACTTTTTATACTTTGATGCCAGACACAGTAGAGGACCAAATTCAGACTATTCAGATTGGATATAATAACCTTTACTGAGAAGAATGGCAGCTACCGTGCATTTGATCTGAATTTTGTTTTAATAACTGCTCACCTTCTTTCCATGAGCAGCAGAGCAGAACCATTTGCAGTGAAGCCTCTCATGCTGGGCACCCAAAAGCTTTCCCTTCCTCCCAGACCATGGGGTACAGTAGAGCTCTGAGCAGCCAGCTGCAATTAAGCAGCATGGCTGAGGGAAGATTTGTTAAGCTATTTTTCTCTTTTCGGGGAGACAGTTTAAATTATAGATCTAAGAAGCAGATTTTCCTATTACATGATGCACACACATTTTCTGTAATGATTCTAATCATGTTATAAAGTATTTCCCATGCTGAACTCATAGCTCTGGTGATCAGTGCAGTCCACATGCTAGACAGATTTTACCCTCAATATTTCACTTAAGCCAGGGATTCCAAGTAGGCTGCTGTATTAAATCAATTTTTTGGTTCTCACACGGTAACACAGTAAAGCCATGTTAGGTTTTCCAGCATTGGCAAAGAAAGCTGAAATAAAATAACCATATTCCAATGCAGATTTAAAACAGAATCAGAGCAAATTTACTGCTCCTATCACAGAGAATACAAACAAAGGATATTGGTGTTCATTTAAGTTCATTCTTCTATTTCTCTCCACACCTCCAAGTGAGTCCCCCTCAATGCTGTCAGCCACAGAAGGTGGATCCAGGTGGATTTAAGTCCTAAGGTGAAAGCAACACATCATTAGGAGTGCTCAGAGTCTGCCTTCCTTTTATGCCATAAATGTTATATATAAAGGGGGCATTTAGATTAAAAGCTGGTTGCTTTGTAATATATTCATCTTTTCTCTCCTCTCTCCATAGCCTGTATATTTACTGCTTGCTCTAGCTTCTAAGGAAGAAATTAGTCTCTGAATTACTGCCACGATTCAGTGGGAATACATTCCAAAAATGCAGCATCTTGCCCATTTTTTTGATGTTAACACATTAAAGAGTATGTAACGCTAAAGTTCAGCTGCTAGCATTTTCATCAATTCAGACTCCTGTTTCAGGGAAGTACTGAGGTTATTCCTTGAGCAGACAAGGCAATTTCACTGGACTATAAAACAACTGAGCTTCTGTGGTGAACTCATCCCTCACCCATAACAAGTGAAACATAGCATATGCAGGGAGTAAGGTACAATTGAGTACCTTCAGTTTACCTTCTGTTTCTAAGAAAAGCTTTAAAGGAGCTTTGGCTGTGAGACTATTTCTCCACCAGTGTCCTCCCACCAAAGTGGTTACATAGCAGATTTTCTTATTATATATATTCTCTTTGAGAGGTCATTATTTTGGCTGGGGTTTTGCTGGTTTGATTGTTTCTGGATTACTTTTTTTTGGAAGAATTTTTCCTGTTCCTCCTAGCCAAAATATCAATTAATTTCTTTAGAGAAAACATAACTTTTCTGCAAAAATTTGATGGCTCTCCTGAGCAGACTGATACAAAAATCAATCTTTTAGCATCTCTTTGGGCAGCAGGGAGGTCTGAATCAATTTCATTAAAATATGATGAAAAGTGTGGGTTTCATGCAGCCATAATCATGTGCTTTTACCACAGTTATCTGCTTTCCTGATTGGAAGAGGTCTGTGCCTCGATCAATCATGATAACTATAAACCACATCATTGAACCAATTCATTAAATCAAGATGAGAAAAGTAGTAGAGCAAAACCAGTGTCCAGTTTGCAAATTAACTTGGGCAGCTGCAAAACTAAAGTGGGTCAGCTGAGGTGGGTCAGCTCTAGAAGCTTCCAGAGACTTTGGAAGACCATGGGCTACCACAGCAGAGCACTGGGACTGCTGGGGTGGCTACACCTCCTCCTTGCTCTGTCACCATAGTTTAAAAAAAAACCAACAAACCTATCCAGAGATATTTAATAAACTTACTTCCTTGTAAGGGGATGAGTGGGCTGGAGCAGTCTGGGGGTCTTTACCTCGAGGCTGAGCTCTTGTGAGGATTTGCTGATGTCAAAGTGCTGCAGGTGATTGATTTCTTGGGTTCCCCTACCTTTTAAGGGAAGCTTTTATGAGGCATTTTGGGCATTGTCACACACACAGCTATGACTGAGCAGAGAGTTTAGCATTTGTAGGGAGGCACCAAAAAAAATAGAGAGCTGGCAGGCTCATTCAAACCTTCCCTCAAGAGCAAATCTGGCTAAAAATTACCTGTATCACAAAAAAAATTCAGCATTTTCCATGGTGCAACTTGTGCCCATTTYTTCTTATYMTGTTGGTTGTCACCTGRAAGAAGAGACAGATCACCCCCTRCTACAACCTCCTTTCAGGTAATTGGGCCTTATTTTGTGCTGTGGTCATTCTTCGTTCCTATGCTGTGATCAAATGCTGAGTTTGGAAAAGATCTTTACATTGGAAACAATTTTAGATTGGATATTAGGAAAAATGTCTCCACCGAAAGGCTTGTCAAACATTGGAGCAGGCTGCCCAGGAAAGTGGTGGAGTCACCATCCTTGGAGGTATTTAAAGATGTGTTTATGTGTCTCTTYGGGACATGGGTTAGTGGTGGACTTGGCAGTGCTGGGTTAATGGTTGGACTCAATGATCTCACAGGTCTATTCCACCCTAAACCATTCCATGATTCTATGAGCATCCCCAACAGAGGAATTTGGAGAAATGCATGACTGCAAGGAAACACTGTCCCATAAAAAATGGTAAAATGCATAGCTTTAGCTACTATGAAGGCAAAAAATAAAGGCACTGAAATTACTAAAACCCTGTTTGATCTGTTGCATGGGTTAATTCATTTTTCAGTGATAAACTGAGATAGATGATAGTGGAAACTCATCAGGAGCTCTTTTTTTCATTCCTGGTACAATGAGAACTGCTGACTGCTAAGGCAGCTTTGTTTGCTTGTTTGGTTCAATCAGCTGATGTCCACTGTCCCATGTGAAGTGTGACACAGATGATTTCTTCCCAGAAAGGGAATTTGTTGAGCCTTAAAGCAGAGTTGCCTTGAGAGATCACTGGTAATGGCAGACAACATGTACCTAAATGTACCTGGTTGCCAAAACAAGATTGTCTCGTTTTCTTTTGCTGTCTTGGCCAAAAGCCAAGTTCATACTTTAAATCCCCCTCTTTTTTTTTTTTTTTTCTTTTTTTTTTTTTTTTTTTTTTTTTTTTTTTTTTTTTTTTTTTTTTTTTAAACAATTCCTGTACTCGTGTTGCGCTGATGGCAGTGTGATAGCAGTGTGAGCATGCCAGCTCTGTCAGTCTAGACATGCAGGTACACATGATGTGTTCACACCCTGTCATCTGACAGCCCTTCAGGTAGCAGAGATGTGTATCTCCTCRATGAGATTTAATAACTGAGGTGCTAAAGCTGTGAAGTACCAAGMGCTTCCTGCCCACGCACTTCTTTGTCAGATGAAGCCCTAAATCTCCCTGAATGTGTTTCTTTGCTGGGAGAATGTTTAGGATGTATTTCAAACCTTTTCTCCTTTCTAGCTGCCTGATTCAATTCACTTGTTTAAATTGCAAAGCTGTTTCTCAGAGACCAAGAATAATAATGTAGAAACTCTAAAGGTAATTTAAGATCTGGGGAAGATCCACTGGTTTCAAGCAACCCTTCAGTTTTTCACACACATTTTCAGACATAACTATGGCTAGGACACTTGGAGAAGTCAGCTCAGATTTGCAGATGGTCCCTTCAGTCTTGACTTATAATTTTCTTTAGCTTTTTATTCTTCTTTTCACTCCTTTTACACTTCTGTTCCTCTTCCCTTCTCCTCTCCTCTTTTCTTGCAGATGTTTGCCACAGCCACAGCACAAGTGGACCCAAATATTTTCGGTGTAAACCCTGCAGGAATGTGTAATCTAAGCCCAAGAAAGAGGAGGAAGAACGTGAATGACTGGAGTGTCACAGTGAAGCCACCTTTTAGTTATTACCCCAGCCCTGGTGGGTTTGGATTCCTCTAACCACAGGCCTGATCCTCAATGCCTCTGAAGTCTATTTACAACATGTTTAATAATTTCTACCAGCTGGTTCTTATTCAGACTGTCACTCAAAATTTATGTAACAATTTCATGTATCAAATAACATGGCAAAAAAAAACTCCATCYTAACCAACTTTATTGTTTTTAGGCTGATAAATTTTTGGTTTTAATTAACGGGCATTTGTTGTCAGCAGTTTTCTTCTGGAGGTTCTCAAAACTCTCTTGGGAATAAGAATTCAGACCTCCTTTCTCCCCAGCAGACTGGATCAGGCTCCCAGTGCTGAACCACAGTGTTTGAAGGTCACTTTTCACTTCTAGGATCAACAACCTGAAAACAAAGGAGTGCAATTAAAGTTAATGTCCCACATGGTTTAAAAAATAATTGTGAATGCCTTCAAAACCTGAAATTTCAACTGGGAATGCAGTTGATTGAATAACAAAAAAAGCAATCACATGAGGACACTGCAGTCATATGATTTTTTTGCACAGTCAGTCACAGCTTTGACTTCGATTTATCTCCCCCTCCTTTCTGCCAGATAATGAGGGCTTAGTTTAAACAAGCCTGTACCCCGAAGGCTATTGCCTTCACCCTGCTCCTTGGCTGGCAGTAGGAGGGAGGAGAGTTGGCTCCAGCCAGGAGGGTGTTGGAGCATGGAGTCTACAAGATCCACAGGACTGGACATCAGAGCCTGCCTTACTGAGAGAAATTCTGGCTGGGGTGCTTTGGGTACGGGTACTATCTTACACAACTAATAGAAAACACTACAAAAATGGAAGAAACTAAGAACAACCACCCAAAAAAAAAAAAAGATATATCAGAGTTATAAAATCTCCTTCCATTGTGCAATCTCTTCATTCTGTTGACAGAGCTTTGGAGTTATGGACTTCCACCTGCCCTGCCCAAAATGAAAATGGTTTACTGTTGCCCAACTCACTGTTTTCTGGCTAGCCAGTGTCACGCTTATGAGTGCTGTTCTTTGGGATCACTGAAACTCCTCTCAATTTTCTCTCGAGGACTGATCTCTTGTACTTGGCTCTACGCCTTGCCATCTTACCATAGTTGTTCTTTGCTGCAAACAACAGCAAGAAACTTCACAAGGCTGCCAGGGCTTCAATGAAAACCAGCTGCTGCACTGCCTGCAGAACAACACCTGGGCTGGGGCAGCACACTGAACCTGAATTTGAACCACTAAGTGCAGTTTGCCAGTCTGTGCTGGTCCTCTTGAGCCATTGGTTGTACCTCATTATTAGGTTTGGCAGCAAAGTCTATTTTTGGTTTATTGCTACAATCCATGAAGTTTACACAATCAAGAATTTGCGTGTGGCTCACRGCAGCTTGTGAGCTTGATATTGAGTGGCCATCACTGCTGTGAGGGGAYCTCCAGCCATGCTTGGATGGATAGGCATGTACCCACTAAATGTTTAAATAAGTTTTCCTTAACAATCAACTSTGATCAGGAGCCAAGTCAAGAGATGTGTTTGAATCGGCCATTTTCCATTTAGTTTACAGTTGTTGCCCAGCACACGGGGAGAGCCACGGGKTTAAGTAGAGATGGGCTCACCAAASRCAGTGAGCTGTTGCAGTAATGCTTGTAAATCAGGCTGGGGCAAGAGCTAATTTGGATTTCTGGAAATAAATGTTCCTAATTTAAAAACAAATTAAGCACAAAAATTGATCATGGTGCAAAACTAGTATGAAAATGCCTGTGAGGTGAATGGTGTGGCTCCAAACAGGTCTCTCAGAAATCYCAGGGAATGCTGAAAGCAAAGGGAGTGAGTCATAAGCACATGAGCTGAAAGAAGCTGAAGACAAAATCATGCATCTCTGCTTAATTCCATCACATGATGAGTCCCGGGGCCCTTCATTTAATCGGAGAGCAGAGCAGCGGAGAAACTTCATTCCCACCTCGCAGTAGGGACCGGAGGATTCCGGTGCGCAGGCAGGAGCCGAGCCGGCCCGGGGCTCCGGAACCATGAGCGGTGCTCGCCACCACCTCGGACTGCTGCTGCTGGCCCAAGCGGTGCTGKGTGCTGCCGCCACACGTGAGTGATCCCCTGGTCCCTCCTGTCCCCCGTGTTCCGTGTCCCAAAGCGGCGCAGGGAAAGCTCCGTGCACCTGYGGGGCTGCTGGAGCCGCGCCTGGGAACAGCAGGGGATGGCTGCTTCACCTCAGGGCTGCCTGGATCGGGCTGGAAAAGGTGCCTGAGCTGGAGAAGCGTGTTGAGAACTGCTCAGGGATCTGCTCCCTGGGTGCACGGAGCTGGCTGGGGCTAAACCTCGGCTCTCGGCAGTAAATTTTTAGCAATATTTCTCCAGTTCAAGCGTGGCTAAAAAGGCAGATGCAGAATGGACTTTGCACAGCTTGCTTGGCTCAGCTGTGGCTGGGAGATGCCRGGTTAGGGACAGTGTTCCCCGCTGGGACACTCAGTCCTGTGCATCCCTAACCTCAGCCACCGTGGGGACTGGGCTGATCTTCTGCTTCATTCTGGACTCCCAGTTTGACTCAAGCCTTAGGATGACCCCCTGAGCTCAGGGCTGGGAATGTAAAAATTGTATTTTGTGCTCAAATTCCAGAATGTAAGTATGGAAATGGAAGACTTTAAAAGSTGAAGTCCATCTGAGCATTCATCTAGCATTTTACCTGCCTCCAATGGAGAGCAGTGCTGGATGTACAGCTGGGCAGGTCAGGACACTTTCCCAGCTTTTGATGATTTATAGCCCCAGAAATTGCCTCTGTCAGATGCAGAGTCATTGTATTTAACAGTTTTTACTAGACTTCTTCCATCTGTTCATGCATTTGGGTTTTCATTGCAACACGTGTACATTTTTTGGGACACACTACATCCTGCCAGCAAAAAATTTCACACCTTAATTGTGCCTTATGTGAAGAAGTACCTTTCATGTACTTAGAACYGGTAACCTGCTGGTTTCATTTGATTCTCCTTAACTTTTGTACTTTCACCTTCTTCTTCCATGCTGTTCATGATTCTGTTTTTATATTCTCCTCTGTCACCTCTTCTCCAGGCTTCAAGACACAGTCTATTTAGCTGTCCTCATATGGAAACAATTCTATCCCTTTGTAGCGTCCTCGCCACCTCTCTCTGTATTTTTTCAGGTTTTTTATACCCTGCTTGAGCTGCAGAGAACAGAGCATACAGTACTCAAGACACAGCATTATACAATGCTGTAATGATGTTCTCATCTTTGTTCTCTATCTAGCCTTTTCCCAGGTTTTTAACCACCAATGAGCACTGCATTCAAAACTGTAAAGCGGCAAGATCCCATTTCTGAGTTTAGAGCTAGTTGAGAGCCCCTCATTCTCAAAGTAAGGTTACATTTAACTGCTGAATTTCATAGTTTTATTCTTGAATCGCTGAGTTTCATACAGTCCTCCATTACTTTATTGCACGGTCTTCAGTAGATTAAAGAACTTTGCTGTTTACCTCTTTTCCAGCTTATAACATTTTAAATTATTTTAGCTACTGAGAAAACGGGCACTTATAACTTTTTTCCCATATCCTAACCAATCATTGATTCATGTGAAATCCTTCATTCTTATCCCATGGTAACTTAATTGCTTTATGTTCCTTTAGCGAGGGACCTCATCAAGTGCTGTCTGGAGCTCAAGCAGACTGTAATAAGCAGGTCAGCCTTGTTCCCATGCTCTCTGTCTCCCTCAGCAAAACTCAGAATATGTTTGTGAGCAATGCACTCCTTTTATGGCATATCATATTAATGCAATGTACCTACTCACTCTGTTCTTCACTGCTGTTCCTACCAGCTTCTCCAACTTGAGCCCCAAAGTTTTTTTTTAATCCTCTAAATCTTCCCTGGAACTGTTTTTAAAAACTGTCATCRCATTTGCCAATTTTTGTTTCTCAGTCACTGAAGCAGTGTTAAGCAAGATGTTACATGCTACAGTTAATAGCTCATTTATTTCACTCTTGAATAACTTCCATACTTGGGCCATCCTAGCTAGACAACTTTGTCATTTTGTTGATTTGTTCTATAATTGYGTTTTTTGTGCCAACACTTCATTTTGAGAGATATTTTTTCTCGTTGTAAAAAAAAAATCCCATCACAGAAACCTCTTATGTTCTTGCTTTGTGAATGAAAATATAAACCAATTGACCAATTTGACTTTTGTGCTATTCCCTTACCTGYCCAGAATGCTTCTTTTGCATCTACATCATCTTTTGGCCTTAAACTTCCTGGCAAGATTTCCAACTTAGTTTATATCTGAGAAAAAAAAAAAATCATAGTTTTAATGTTTTTGCAAGTTGTTCCTCAAATTCTTTTTGTGTCCTGCTTTATTATATTTCTATACATAACTTTAGAAAGTTTATGTTACTGTCTGATGCCATCCCATCAGCATTTTTACTTCTAATACACTTTTATCCTCTTTAGCTGGATCATCTTTCTGTTTCTGCTGTCCTAACATTGGCTCTCATTCTCTATTCCATGGCTAACACACTATCACAGGAAATACTGAACTTCTTGTCTTTGTTACATTTTTCACCAAAATGAAAGCATTCACCAGAAAGAGAAAGAAGAAAGTCAATCAAAGTATAAGATCTTYTCTCCTTTGCTCACCTCACCAAAACTATTACAGTAATCTCTTCCTKGGATCATAACATTACTCTATTTTGAACTGAATTGCTCTGATTTTGGTTATGACCAACATCTGTTCCTGAGTGGTTTTCATTGTTAGAAAAGAAATACATTMAAGCTTTTTGTTCCTTTAAATTCCCCAACTGAAAATCTTCATTTCCATGTGTTAGAGAAACTAGTGCAGAAGSCTTTCCTCATCTGAAAAACCATCTTTGTCTTGTCCTCAAACTTGTGAAATGTTTTATATTTGATTCAAAGAAACAAAGCACATCAGGGAGGCAAAGAAATGCCTAAGGAGCTTGTGATTTAAAAGCAGTGGCAACAGTTATTACTGGATTAGAAAATGAATTCTGAATTGAAGGATTGTTATTGAAAACTCAAAATTAAAAATTACAAATTTAATTTAATTTAATTAAATTATAAATTTAATTAAATTTATAAAATTACAAGTGCTCCAGCTCTTTTTGATAAATTGAACATTTGGGAAAAAAAAAACAATGATTGAAAAGTTTTGATCTGACAAAATAAAAACATTTTTGTTAATTAAATTATTTTAGATAAAGAGTATGGGAAAAAGAAATTACAAAAATTATGGTGCCATTTACTTTGAGTAAAATGACACATTAATTTAACAACACCTGAAGTGTAATTGAACTTTCTAAGCCTTTGTGAAGTGTTTTTATAGTTGCTAATCTGCTTCTTTTCCTGAGCAAAATTTCTGAACAACAACATTACCAAACTCTTCTTCTGACCAAGACTCAAAACAATACAGCATGTGATACAGGTCATTAAGTAAATACCAGTCATAATGTTATGCTTGTTCACATCAAAATATATTAAATCTGCAGGAAAGTGATTTAATCAAATCACTTCAATCAAGTGATTTAAGTGAGACTGCAAGGGGTCCCAGGAGGGCAAAAGACTGTGGGAGATCGTGTCTCTGAGTGAAAATCTGTTATTTTCCTCAAAACTTTCACTCCTCAAGACTGGGGAGAGAGCTACCAGCGCCAGCTCCAAGTTGAGATGGGACTGGCAAAGGGATGTTCTTCCTGCCCAGCAGAGATCTCACTGGGTGAAAAAACACCGAGAGAAAGTAGCTCTTGTCTCTTCTTCTGAGCTGTTTCTCTGGTTCTCTCTTGCACTAAAATTAGGAGCCACCCATTTCTAAAGACTCTGCTTAAACTGGCTACACCTGCTCTGTGCCTTTTCCAAAGCTTGGAGAAATTCCAACACAACCGGTTGGGTTACAGCACACGGGGCAATTCTTGCCCTTCTTACAGGTCTCTGCATTTTCCTTGAAGTCATCCAGAACTTTGTTGCACTTGGGTATAAATCTCAGAAGCATTCTTCATCAGCTGACCCTTTACAGTAAAGCCATGAAAAGCAGAAATCCGAGCTCTGTTGATGTTGTGACAGAATGGCACATCCAGCAGTTACCTTAGTTGATGAACATGGCAGAGCTCTTTAAAGCCTCCAGGCTTTAATGGAACTGTGCCCATAAGCCTACTTATTTACATATTTTTATGGCATCCTACWGTGGCCAACATGCTCCTACAGGTTGCTTGGATATTTATGTTGTGACAGAAAGAGGGATCCTAGAAGCCTGGGAAAGGTTTGAGGCCATCAGTTGTAGTCATATGAGAAGAAAGAGGTTACTGAAGTTATTTAATATCTGAGCCATTTTTAAATAACAGCCATGAAGCTAATATGTTATTGTTGTTATATTATAAACACATTRAATTTACTATTCAGCTCTAAATTTCCTTTTCTGGAAATACCAGCTTCTGTTATAATTGATTCCACCCCTCCCACCCAAACCACCAGCCAAGTCACCAAAGGAGCTGCACTGRCTCAAAATTAATTCCTGGCATAACTTCCACTAGAGCACAACTCAGACACAGAGTGAATTTATCCTCTTGGCCTTTTAGTCGTTGATTTATTACCAGGCAAAGCAGTCAGAAATCAAGCAACCTCTGTGCAGAGAGCATGACTGTTGCAGGGTTATGTAAATTCTCATAAAACAATTGCTCTGATATGGTCAAAACATTGAAAACAATTTTATTCTTTGTCTGGGAAGTTTGCAATACTGCAATTTGGAAAAAAAAGTGTCAGTCTGACAGTAGAGGAATTGTCTTTATGTTGATYATAGTTGATTAAGTGTTTTTAGCTGCAATGATAAAATTCTGTAATTTTCTACCGGTGGAAAGTTTTCTACCAGTACATGATTAAAGTTCAGCTCAGGAATGATGTTTTTATAAAGTAGTAGGGAAAATTGCATTACATTTATACTGATGTTTGGTTTTCCCTCTAGGGTTTCAAGATGTGTTGAGCCAAGCAAGTACTTCTCCTGTCACATCCTACAAGAAGCTAGAAGGCTGGTCTAGTGATCAAAATGAATGGAATGAAARGCTTTATCCTTTCTGGGAAGAAGGAGATCCCAGATGGAGGGACTGCTGGAAAGGTGATTGCACATACACATTTCAAAGACACTCRAAAATCTGGCCCGAAAATCCACCACAATGCAGGTGCTAGAGTGCATTTTCACAGGGGCAATATCMACAGAATAGCAAGTCAGAGATGATTGGGTGTGATACCATTCCCAATGGGTTGTCTGAGGAAGCAGAACAGTGAGTTATTCCCTAAAATGCTTTCCCATTATGACTAGTCTCAGACATTAATACTTATTAAGAAGTATTGATGGTCAGGGATCTAGAACAATCCATGATGTGAAACATACCCTGGAGGACAGGTACCTTCAACTGCTACCTCCATGGGGCATGTGGGCTTCAGTTTCAGTAAAGACCGTATTTATTGTCACCTGGTCTGAGCTGAGGGCTGATGRTTGTATCCCTGGGGAGAAAAAAAAWTTYYYCYTTKRRA